TTCACTGATTGGTTGATTAGAGTGGTTTAACGTCCCGAAAACCACCATACGATTATGAGAGGCGCCGTAGTGGAGGGCTCCGGAAATTTCGACCACCTGGGGTTCTTTAACGTGCACGAAAATCTGAGCACACGGGCCTACAACATTTCCGCCTGCATCGGAAATGCAGCCGCCACAGCCGGGATTCGATCTCGCGACCTGCGGGTCAGCAGCCGAGTACCTTAGCTACTAGACCACCGTGGCGGGGCCATTGGAAGTTCAACATCACAATGTTGTCGAAGCATGACTCTTTTTTGAAGGTGCTCGAATCCGCAACGAATAATAACTCAATTACAACGCTCGTGTGGCTCGCAAACTTTGGCATGCAGTGAGAACCTGTGAGCCTTTGGAGAACGCGTTTTACTCACAAAACGCAAGACTTTATCATTCTGTTATTTTTTATTGATCTTACAACCAAATGATTAGAGATTATTGTCACCAGAAACTGTGGACAACAGACCAAATAACTAATGTTACCTCAATAAAAAAAGCCATATAATATCATTCGCAAACGGAAAATGTTATTCCTCGGTTGAAGATAACTGACAGTGACAAAAGTCTAGTGGAAACACTGCAAACTGCGCAGACGCAGTCTTTACTGAACTTGCGCATGAACACAATTTAGAGCCGGAGTTTTAATTAGTAGCATTTCCTTAAACATACATTAGCGTCAAACACTTAGTACAGCCTTCGGTGCGCATCAGATGACAAAAAAGAGAAGAAAGTGTGCTTATATTTTTGTTTACTCACAAGGGAACCAGCCACGGGAACCATCGTGGTGCGCGTTTTTCGATAATGGGCTTACCTCGAGTGCCATGACTGCATAGTTTAGCTCTTGACTACCACTGGCAGCAAAAAAAAAAAAAAAAAAAAAAAAACAAGAGGTCGGGTCATTACTATGAATGGGAACTGAGGCGAATCTGCATATGAACACTTTGGCCAAGTAGGATGCTTATTAGAAGAGCATGGCTTTGTTTCCTCCGTGTAGTATGACGTCACGGGCACTTCCTTCTACCTCGTCGAAGCAAGAAATGTGACACAAGAAAGGGGGAGAGGCGTTCTTTGTTTAAACGTAATGACGTAACGGCAAGGAAGAAAATTATTTGCAGCTGGAGGCTCTACGGGCTAAGCTAGCACACACTCGGTATTTCCCCCAATACACACACACACACACACACACACACACACACACACACACACACACACACACACACATATATATATATATATCAAGGTCTCATCGTGGTCGATCAGTGTTTAGTAAGCACTTGGTGTTCTCGTCATTCTAGCTTCACAAAATAAACCGAACGCGCTTGTTAGCATTTCCTATGTGTAATACAATATGTGTGGCCAGTTGTATCGATCTCGATGATACCCCCGTGCACACGTACCACTCACTCATATGGCAAGGCGCTTTCGCGTTTCATTTATTTTTTTACTTCGGTGGTAGATGGGCGAGTACATTGTTTCGTGCGCCTACGAGCCACATCGCTTTCAAATTCGGTTCGCTCTTGTGAAAATGTTGCTACACTGTGAGGACGCTTGCAATGGCGCGAAAGAAACAAAACGCAAAAGAAGCACAAACTTGACGCGAGGGGGGAACTACATACGTCGGCAGTTCGGGCTAAGCGATTCGCGATGAAATCCTGAAGGCTACGTACGGTCACCTGGCCTACACTATCCCTGTCGATTGCTCCTTTTCTTCTACAGTTTGTTCGCTCTACTTTGTCCACGCCTCTTCGATTTATGGACGGAAGCACGCACTAGCGATCTCTCTCTCTCGGTCTCACGTCAAAGTGCTGCTGCGCTAAAATGAAAAGCTCTCAAAGTGGTCATGCGGCAAGGATACGAATGGAAGACTGAGAAACAGAAGGGAGGCATAATAGCTCGAAAAAAAAAAAATATCTACGTTGCCAAAGACGCAAAAAGGAAGAAAGAGAGGAAGGGAGATAGCAAGTTTCCAAAGGTACCTTTATGTCTCTGTTCTCTTCATCGACGGTCAGGTCTGAATCGATTTCGCGGAAATTCTTGATGGAACGCATTAGTGGCTTTTTAATGGAGGCTCCAAAGCGGCGGACAGACAAGTGTTTTCCATTAGGAACACGAACTGGATTGTATAAAAATTTAATGGGCCTCTCCATTGGTTCGTCGCTCGCGCGCGCGGTGCTGGAAACGCAAAGGCTGTATATGTGAGTGCGTACGCGCGTGTGTGCGGATATGGGCCCGGCAAGTATATACGTATATGAACGTAGGGAGAGAAAAGCAGAGGCAACCCGAGTGATAGGCAGTGCGACGAAGCAGTCGTTTTGTGACTGCGAGAGGTACGGAATGCCGCAAAGGCCAGGAAACTGTGATGTAAAATGTGTGACGCAGTGGAGAGGATGGGTGTACAGAAGGTGATGTAGAATGTTAGGTGAGGGGGAGAAAATGATGCGAAAGCGCAACTGTAGAATGTGGCGCTGAGGCGACGGCACGAGCAGTGGGAGTAAATGCAGTATATATCCGCGAATCGGCGAGGTGATGCGATGTAGTACACTGAGAGAATAGCAAGGCAAGAAAAGAAAAGAAAAGAAAGAAAGAAAGAAAGAAAGAAAGAAAGAAAGAAAGAAAGAAAGAAAGAAAGAAAGAAAGAGCACGAGAAAAAGAGACGGTCGGGACTTCTGTTCGACGTGTATATATATACGAAGGCAGCGAGGTGAGACGAAGTGCCCTTTGGTTTTGTCTGAGAGTGGCGGCGGCGCGCGGGGGTTGAGTGCGAGCTTTTTGTACGAGGCCCGAGAGCACTTAGCGGAGATAAAATATTGCGTATTTGCGACCCGCCGAAAGCGAATGAAATGTACGGGCAGGCAGGCGGGCAAGCTAGCTATATTCGCCGGAGCGTGCGCTTCGCGAACGAACGTCGGGCACGCGGGAAAAACGGCTTGAAACCTCGTGTAACCTCCTCCCCCCACCCTTTCTCGTCTTTTTTTTTTTCGCGTGTTTAGAGTGTTAAGAAAGGAGAGACGACAGTGTTGTTTACTTCGTTCGTTGAAATTGTTGTTTCGGGCTGACGCGCTTTCGCCGTCGATGCTCCATTGGCTGTTCGTTCAGTCAACACTGAATGTTTTAACGACGCGCGTATATATATGCCGTGCCCCTCTCAGATCGTCTTGTTTGCTCGTCCAGCATAGGTGCGAGGTGCCGACAGTAAACGGCTCGGCGTAGGCGTGCGTGGGGCTAAGAGATCGAAGCATCCGTATGACGATGGACCGTTGGGTGTGTGCATCAACGCATCTTGGAGAGCGACGTGAACGGATTTGATAACCATGCGTTCTGTCCCTCTGCCTCCTCTAACTCTCTACGCACTCCGGTATTGTGTAACTGGTCTTCTTGAACCCGTTTAACGTAGACTGCCTGGAAAACAAGATGGCAGAGACAGCATTGCCAATGGCGGCTTGCATGTTATCGAACGTGACTCGACAACCTTGACTGACTGTGCACTTATCGTGATATGATCGCGCGTTGAAGAACAACGGAAGCGTTCAGTGCTAGCATGTCCTTGGAATGCACTTTCAGTGGTCGAACGTGACCAAGTAGGCCGCGCAGCATTGTCATGGTGACGTCTTCTATGTGTTAGCTTTTAGTAAGATTCAGCTGCTAGTAAGTAAGCTTCTAGTAAGCCATAGTCATCACTTTACGCCAATTCTTGTTTTGAAACATCGAGTAATTCAGAAAAAAAGACAGGAAACCGGCGCGGAGAGGCTATCTGATTGATGCACATCTCACGCAAGTTGACTTTACAGTGACATTAAAATACTTTTACATTAATAACACTTTACACCCATATATGGTTAAAAGGTGTTACGTTATTGCACACTGTTTCTGGGGCCATTAAAAAACACGGGGATGAAATTGACAGCCAGATTCCACCCTATAGGGAGTGATCGCACTAGTGCACGCATCTTAACTGGAAACCCATCGCCTCTCACTGAGTCTGCATGATATACGATACAGTAACCACACTTCCGAGCACTCAGGGCACGCGTCTTGTAACTTCAATCGTTGCCAATTCCAGACTGTCATAAAAAGGTGTGTACTATATAGAGATGAAAGCACCGTATGTGCTTCTTATGCATCACTTAGCACAATGAACTGTCTTCGTCGTCAGAGAGTACGTCCGGGAGTCGCGAACACAATGTCGAAATATTGGCGTCGAGTAAGTAAAGTATATGTTATAACATATCGCCATTGCCGGAAAGAAGTAGTAGGAGGCAACGACCATAAATATAGCAACCGTGAACCATGAAGATCTTGGCAGCCTGCCCTATAAAACCGCAGCTGCTTCCTTCCTCTCTGCTACAGTATGTTGTGTCTGAGTCAATTGGTTCGCAAACGTTCATTTTGCAGTGTCTACTAGCGAGCTCAGAGCGATTTCTTTCGATGATAAAGTCGAGAGATTTAAAACGAAATGAACACGGGATCTTCTTCGTGCTTCGTCGTACAGTGCAATTTGTTGTAAAGCTGGCATACTACGATCGCTAGCAATTATCATAGCCAAGATGCGAGAAGTCATCCGTTATGCACGTTATTTTTTCTTGTGGAAGTGTTCAGTTAAGAGGTTTTTGACTGCACAAATATGCAGTTTTAAGGTATACTTGCGGTGCGGCACGGACATGAACCAGTGCCGCCTCCATCATAGGAGTGCCCAGTACCGTCCACCGAATGTGATGGATGCGAGATGTAGAATTACTTACACAGTGGATGTGATGGAGGCGATGTTTAGATTTATTTACAGGAGCAGATCATCAGCCAAAAAAAAAAATAAATAGGGAGGATGAGTAGCACGCGCCAAGTGCGTCACATTTGCTCGTCCATCTTCATCTTCGGCGAACATCTCAGTGGTTCGTGTTCATGTCACACCGTAATACCGTGAACGTGAATGCAGCATAGACTCACCATTTTCTCTCTCTTTCTCTACGCAGGTGTTACCCGCTAGTCTCCCCTTCCTCCTCCCCCGGCGAAAAAGAAGAACGCCAGCGGCCTCGAGTGAGGCTCTGGGCGCCCGCAAGTTCCTCAGCTGTTCTGGTCTTCGTGTCGATACCCAGCTCCTTTTGCGGACCTGTGTAAATAGAGCCACGCCCTACCCCACTCTACTGTAAAGTGCGCTGCACCCGCTGCTGTGTGATGTGTAAATATGCCTACCCGCGCCCAGTCACGGAACGGCACGGCCGCCTATTGGAACCATTAAAAAAATGTGTACAGTCATTACTCCGACATCCGATGTTGTCTTCTTTTTTTAATTTCACTCAATGAACTCAGAGCCCAATGACCCTTCTTGTAAAGAGCGGCTCTTTCGGCTGCACTAGACCATCTGAACAAACGCCTCAAAGAAAACAGTTGTTAAGGGCACTGACCTTCACTGACTTCAACGAAGGTTGCCAATGGGATGTTGATTTGATGCGGTTTCTTAGAGAAACCGAAACAAGAATGACAAATTGCGAATGGGCATCAATATATTTAATCTCTTCATTAGGAAAAACAGACTATATACTGTTCACCGTAGCTACTCTGCATAGGCATGCAGATAGGGAATGGAGTTTCAGATTGGAGAAGACAGGAAGGAAAATAATAAAAAAATTTAAAACAAATAAAAATGCACAAGTGAACTTTACAAAATTTTTACAACTAGGGTGTGAGGTAAGCTACAGCTTGCTTATGTGAAACATTTTAAACCAGAAAAGCTTTCCGACAGAGCCGATTTTAGAGAGGTAATGAAAGAGCGACTGTAAAACTTGTCTTTGTTTTGAAAGGCCAGGAATCGGGCCGGCTATGCTGTGCAAGTAAACTGATCGTGACAAATCATGTCCATTTGTTGCTGACACAATTGTCTGTTGTCTCGGTAAAAAGGGCATTCAGGTAATATGGGCTCCTTTAGACTACGCGTGGCATACACAAACAGCTATTTGTACCACACAGGGCGTACCACGGGTTCCTTATGTGATAACTATAGCTAGTAATATTTTTGCCTGTTAGTGGACCGTTGCTATTGCCATAACGACCTGCAGCGTCTTCACGGAGCGTTATTCTGGACACTGTCGAATTCCGCCTTGTATTGTCACATTCCGCCATTGACCAATACTGATGGCCAGTGGATTGCTACGATCTCTCTGATTAGCCTGAAATGCCGCCTTTACAAAATTTGACAATATGGTGGAATTAGTGTCTAGAAGAGCACCCATTGACTCTTCTCCTATTTCATTCTTTCCCAACCACACTCCCATTTCCGTGCAGAGGGTATCCAACCGGATATATCTGGTTACACTATGTCTTTTCTTGACCTATTTTCCCTTGTGGCGTCAAATGCACAAAAAGAGGTTGTGGAACGTCTATAATTCGTAATAAATAAAATGTGTTTTGATGTCTGACGACATGACAGGTGTGCTTGGATGAGAAGCAACGTTGCGTTATCTGCCTCACGGAGTAACATACGACGGTATACGAAGAGAAGTCATAGTCATAACAGCCATCATCGTTAGCTTCGTTATTTATCTGATTTCTTCTTACGGACACGATCGTTGCTAGTGCATTGGCATAGACAACAAGTTAGGTTAAAGCCATGTCTTGTTAAATTAATAGATATTTCTTCAAGTGGTGGACTACAGATAAGTAACGACCACGAAATTCACCAAAAGCTAGGAGACCAACGTTTCTGCAACCTTCTCAGAGCGAAATAAGGTGAGCCAGGCACATAGACATGTTCTGCAAAGGACAGAAAACCGGGTATGTTATCTTCAAAAAATATTTGATAAAGTTAACGTGTCAGCTCACACACATGAGCGCACTGTTTACAAGGAAGTTAAAAGCGAGGAAAAAAGTTGGCTTCACTGCGCTGTATAACGTGGTGACATATTGATTGCTCCACAGGGCACGTATAAGAGCTACTGTGCGAAAATTCGAACATTGACCGATAGCATAACCATACAACTGCATTAAGAAAGCACCTTATTGTACATATATCATGCGATACATGCCAAGATACTATGCCATACAAGGAGAATTTTAAGCTTCCTCTCTCTCATATCCTTATCAGCAACCTTAGGGCCTCTCTTATCTGAATAAATCTATCTATCTATCTATCTATCTATCTATCTATCTATCTATCTATCTATCTATCTATCTATCTATCTATCTATCTATCTATCTATCTATCTATCCTTCTTCTTCTTCTTCTTCTTCTTCTTCTTCTTCTTCTTCTTCTTCTTCTTCTTCTTCTAATTTTATGCCTTTAAAGGCTTTACAAAGTACAGAAGAAAAATCACAACTTTTTAAAGTACGTTCCGAGCAATGACATACAGTGACAAGACCTTTATTGACACGTTTCGATGAAAATGATTAAGGTGTTCTGGAGGCCCTCCAATGAGGGATTATGATCGATTGATTGATATGTGGGGCCTAACGTCCCAAAACCACCATATCATTATGAGAGACACCGTTGTGTAGGGCTAAGGAAATTTCGACCACCTGAGGTTCTTTAACGTGTACGCAAATCTAAGCACATGAGCCTACAACATTTCCGCCTCCATCGGAAATGCAGTCGCCGCAGCCGGGATTCAATCCCGCGACCTGCGGGTCAGCAGCCGAGTATCTTAGCCACTAGACCACCGCGGCGGGGCGAGAGATTATGATAGGATGAACGCTTGCAATAGGAATAATCAATCAATCGATCGATCAATTATTCATTTACCGTGCCCTGGAACAACCATGAATTCTTAGTGCATGCGTACGCAAATTGAAAACAATAAAAATAAACAATACAATACAATTTACATAAACGAAAATTAAGAATAAAAACATGTAATAAAAAGAGCGAAACGGCTAACGAAAGCAGCTCAAAATGGGAAGAATAAAAGACAGGACGAGAATCATGGAATCGCAGTGAAAAATAAAGGGGATGAGTATACGCAACTGTGTCGAAGGCTTCCTGAAAAACGCAAAAGGGATGTGTCTGTACAATGTAAAGAACTATCTTGAAATATTGCAAAGCTGAGATAGGAAGAAAGGCAATAATAATAATAATAATAATAATAATAATAATAATAATAATAATAATAATAATAATAATAATAATAATAATAATAATATGTTGGATTCTACGTCTCAAAAGCACAATATGATTGTGAATGAAGCCCTAGTGGAGGGCTCCGGAAATTCCGACCGTCTGGTGGTCTTTCCAAAAGCGCTTTGACTTCGGCGAGTTGGTCGTCCCTGTTCTGCGTGTCTCCTATGGTCTATGTCTAAATTGCGCTGAAGCCTATCCAATCACTGGTGTTCTTTACGTGCACTGACATCCCACAGTAAATGGGCCATTGACATTGTTCCTCCATGGAAATGTGACCGCCACTGCCAAGATTGAGCCTGTGAGCTTCGAATCAGCAGAATTCTGGAAGTAGCCAAGGTGCCTACAACTACGTCCGTATGCTTCATCCGGCACTAGACATGACGACACTTACCTAGGGCGAGCTTGTATGAGGATATATATATATATATATATATAATATATTGGCTTGAGTGGACAAACGTGCGAAAACCTTTATTGCTCCTACGTTTCGCCCGGGGTCCGGCCTTCGTCAGGGAATATATATATATATATATATATATATATATATATATATATATATATATATATATATATATATATATATATAAGCATACTTGGCTGAACAGATGCATGCTTCGTGGTGTATGGGATGGGGACGATTTGGAATGCTGCAATGGCACACGGTCACACGGACCTCTTATCCTACATTGAGTGGAACATATGACTACTTGACATCTGCGGCCACGAAACGTATACAGGTAACGACTAAGCCTTTGTTGCATTGCTGCTATCGCTAAATTACAGGCGCTTTTCAAAAGCTCGGAGAACTTAAGTAAGGGAAGTCAAGACGCTCCAAGGTTTTGTGGGAATGGTGAGCATTCCACAAATAATTATGCCGAAGAGCAGGACGAGAAAAACGGCATTATGTAAATAAAGGAGGCGTGCAGGGACGGTCTGGCATATTGGCTGAATACACTAGGCGTGGTATGGGAAGAACGAAGGAGACATTACAGAGGCAGAAGAGTGATAAAGGAAATGAAATTCATGATGGCGATAGCGTCGCCTATGCTGAAACAAAGTATGCTGATGATGATAATGACGATTACTAGAAGGGAAGAAAGGTTGAAGTGCTTCGAGCAAACGCACTCGCATGGAGAGCGCGTCGCGTGCCCGCTACGCTCTATTTGTTGAGGCACCTGCCTGTTTTTATCCGATTGCAAATCGAGGGACAACTAAGTCGGGCGCTGGGCAGGTCGCGACAATGTTTGGAACGATACACTCACAAGGCTCCAATAATCTTAAAATAAGTGACGTCTCCCTCGCGAGAGTGACATTAAACGATAAAACACATCTGAAAAGTCATGAATCTTACACCGTGGTCATGTTTTGCTAAAGGCTCGCACCGCACAAATGCTGACGTCCGCGCACATGACCCCGGAGGCACTAAGAACGGGAAGGGAAATGACAAGCGGGAAAGGGTTCGGGGAAAAAAAAAAGAAAGCGCGCAAACGAGAAAATGGAGAGAATCTCATTATATCTACACGAGCATAAACCCAAATTACCGGGCGAGCAGCCCGCGTTGCGCGGCGGTAGGCACGCAAGCACGAGAAAACGAGACGACCGTACAACAAGCGACTCGCGCGTTCGCCAAATTAACCGAGAAGCGGCGCACGCGCTATAGCAGCGGCAAGGGCGGCCAGCGCCGAGTGCGCCGCGGTCCCAGCTGAGTCACGTCATCTGTACACACACGTCGAGTATAGGCAGTGGCGGCGTGCATGGCGCTCGCTCACGCGTATTATGCATCGAGCTTATAACAGAAGCGGTCGACAGCACTCGCCTTCCAGCTGAATCAGCAACAAAAAAAGCTAAAGCAAAGCCAATCTGCATTCGCATGACCCGCGCACTCGGTGGCTCCATCTCACCGAGAGTCACCCACTGGGCGCCGGCAATTACAAACCCGCGCCCGGCCCCACGCCGTGTGTACGTTAGCATTCTATATAAGTTTAGCCCGTACTCCCGCATCACCGACCGACGAATGAACGAGCGACGGGCGATATAAGTGCAAGGGTCTGTAATATGCGTGTGCCACGAACGGGAGGCGGTTAATTTTTCAGGCGAGTTCGGCAGTGGAGCCAATCAACCGAAGCGGCAGGGTAAGTATACCTCGATGTGCATGCC